GCCACATCTGAAATACACCGAGCGCCGCCCGTAGGTGGTCCAACCCCTAATCACATACTCGCAGTATCCTCAAAGTCCAACAGCTCGGTGGTAACAGACTTCGCTGAGGTAGGTGGAAGAATGACCTCATTATCGATCAGATCTTGCACTTCATGGCGAAGGCGGAAACAGTTGTCGGTGGTGTGACTGGTCTGTTGGTGGTATGCGCAGTACAAAGCAGCATCATGTGTGAGAGGGAGATTCTTCGGGAGAGGCGGAGGTTCAAGGGGTTTGAGGTGCCCCTTTTCGGCAAGAATCTGAAGTGCCTTAGACAGAGGCATGTAGAGAGCATGAAATACCCTGCGCCCTCGGGGCAGGTACTTTGAAGTCTGAGTATTCTTACTAGACGCACTAGCAAAAGGGTCGGTGGGCACTGCCTTGGTTTTCTGATCCTTCCCAGGTGCAGGGGCGGGAATAGGAGGAACTATTCTGGCATGACGGGGCCTATCCCGATTTTCTGACTGACTTGAACTACCCTCAGGTGGAGTGGGGAAAACATCCTCCACAGTGTTTGCCACAACTGCGGATATCTGTTGCTTGTTCATCCCCCCGGTTTTCAAAGCCTCGACTGCCCGCAGCAGTTGTTCAAGGGGATCGGCATCTGCTTTCATTTTGTTCTTGCCTCTGGCCTCAGCATGATCGGGGGTTTGGGTTACTACATCAAAGCGAAGCCCGGTTGTTGCTGACACGTCGTTGCTATAGCTGGAGGCAACCTCTGGCTGACTGAGCTCTATCACAATCCGCCCCAGTAGCGGGGGCTCCTGTGGTATGAAATTCCCGGCATACGGTGCTGCTGGTGGCAAAGCCGACATTCCATATGCGAGATCCGCCACAGACCTCTGGAGGTCACCAATCATTCCCATCAGCTCGAATGTAGTGGGCTCGCAAGCCTGATACAACTGGGGGGTCCAGATCGGGTGTGCGACAGGCGACCTGGGCGGATGCGATACATCAACATTGGTTTCATCTTGCAGGGTAATCCCGTGATCTAGCATAGCTGTCATAACCACAATCTCTTCTGAATTCTGCGTCATCATAAGTCCGCTGTACTGAACGGTGACTGACGGATCAGATATCTGTCTTGCCTCAGCAAGGGAGAACACTAGCTATTCTGTATCAACTCTCTGAACACTCTGAACTGAAAGGAAAAACAAACAGCACTTCAGCCCAAATAGATCAAACGCAGGTGTAGCCAAACAACTGCACTCTACTACTGATCACTGTTCCCCAGAATCACTGTCCCCAAAACTGAACTTGATACCCGTAGATAACTGATTCTCATAAACTGACACTGATGCCCTCAGGTCTGACACTCAAACTTGCAAACTGATATGTGCGTTCCTGTAGAGATACATTCTAAAAGCACCTAGCAAGTAAAGAGAGCGAAAACACCCCTATGGAGGGGTAGGGTTTCCCTGTCCTATTTTGTTAGGAGCTAGGGTTTTACTATGCACGCAGCAGTTTCAAACAACTTAGCATCGGGTAAGCAACCTGTCCTAACTTGGAATGGTCACTATGGATCCGAATATGCACTAGGTCGAATGGTCGAAAGGGGTGCCCTGGTAAAATCGGGGTTTGTGTTCCCATACTGTCAGAGCCCACAACCGGTCAGCCTTATGGTCATGCCTTGACAAGACAAGCCTCCAGCAAACCGTTCAAGAATGGCAGATGGCAAACACTGTGTTCCTAGGCGCACCAATGCACATGCAATGCAAAGAAACACATGAATGAAATCAAAACAGGATATCATGAGTTCGAGTCAAGCTCTCTAAAATTCCCAGCAGAGTCGCCAGAAACTGTAACAATGCCCGCGAGGGACCCCGCTACAGTTCAGACACGATTTTGTGTCATGGTTCTTAATCTGAACCAAAGAGTCCAAATCCGGCAAATCGTTTTGAGAAACAGATTTTTGAAAAGAAGTGCCAAACATGGGCTGCTTTGCCAGATACAGAGTCGCCACCTAAATATTTTATTTTGGGGAATTTAGGAAACCCTGACTCAGTGACAAAGGCCACGTGCCTGTCATCACCAAAGTTGCCTCGGCTCGGGAACTTGGGTACGATTGGGGAAGGTCAGCTATGAGCACCCCCTCTCGCCCGATCCGAAGATCGGTCTCTACTAACCATGATATCCATTTTTGAAAACGTTATGTGTTCTTATTTCGGTTATTAGCCTAGAATTACTATGTTATGCGCACAGCAAACAAGTATAGACTAGATTGCCTAATTTGGGAATAAGCATTGCATATCCGATTTGTTTTGGAAAAATATTTTGGAATTTGCTACTCGCAAGTAGGCTAAAACACGGATTTCAATGAGCTATTCCAACTCAGACAATCCGGCCTTCACCCACAGGTATTCAAGCAGTTATATCACATAAGCAGCTAGCCTCATGGTAATCATGCTATCATGGCAACACTCACATGCATGCAAGGATGCTAAAGCATAAATACTTACATCGTACTTCGTGCCAAAACAAAGAACTCGTTAGCAATCAATGTATGATCCAAGTCCATGTTCAAATGCCTAATGCAACGCATACAGAATGTCACTAGAGTAGGCTCGGCTAGTTTATGAATGACATGTGAAAATGCACAAGTAGCATGTATTCAAGTTAGATTTGAAATACTGGTTCAGTTAGCATGATGCGCCGAGCCCGGTGCATGCAATACTGATGAATGATGCACGCATGCATGGCATAAGATATGCTAAATTAAACATGACCTATTACTAACCATCAAAGCAGGCAAGTAAAAGGGAGAAAGAAGTGGGGATTGGAAGACATGCACACACGCACCCACACTTAATACAAGTTCGCCCTCGCTCGGAGGGACTAAAAGAAGAATGCAAATTAACTAACTCGCAAGATAATTAATTATTACAAATTACCTAATTAATTAACAAATTAACTAAGCTTAGAAAAGCAAGGAAAAGGACCTCGGGAAGAGGGCTCAATGCACGCTTGCTCGGGTCTTGCTCGGAAGTCCATTTCCATGCGCAAGCTGCCTCTGTTTTCCCTGCTCTGCCACTCTGAAAACTTCCAAAGTCTCAGAATTGCTTCCCTGGACATTGGGAGACACCACCGGCTGGAGGGGATTATCACTGTAGACGTCCCCCGAACGCCTCGGGAGGGTTAAGTCCCGTTCTGTCCATTTGGGGTTACTACAGCTCGGACTCTCAAATTGTCACGGTTCTTAATCTGAACCAAAGAGTCCAAATCTGGCAAATCGTTTTGAGAAACAGATTTTGAAAAAGTAGTGCCAAACATGGACTGCTTTGCCAGATACAGAGTCGCCACCTAAATATTTTTTTAATGGGGAAATTTAGGAAACCCTGACTCGGTGCCGAAGGCCACATGTCCGTCATCACCAGAGTTGTCTCGGCTCGGGAGCTTGGGTACGATCGGGGAAGGTCAGCTATGAGCACCCCCTTTCGCCCGGTCCGAAGACCGGCCTCTACTAATCGTGATATCTGATTTTGAAAACTTTATATGTTCTTATTCCAATTATTATCCTAGAATTACTATGTTATGCACACAGCAAACAAGTATAGACTAGATTGCCTAATTTGGAAATAAGCATTGCATATCCGTTTATTTTGGAAAACGTTTTGGAATTTGCTACTCGCAAGTAGGCTAAAACACGGATTTTAATGAGTTTTTCCATTTCAAACAATCCACCCTTCACCCACAGGCATTCAAACAGTTTATCTCATATAAGCACTTAGCCACATGGCAAGCATACTATCATGGCAACACTCACACGCATGCGGGATGCTAAAGCATAACTACTTACATTGTACTCCGTGCCAAAACAGTAAACTAGTCAGCAAACATGCATGTCCTAGTTCATGTTGAAAATGGCTAATGCATCACATGCAAAAATGCAATCTAGGCAGGCTCGGCTAACCCTAAACATGGCATGTGAAATGCGATCAAGTACCACATATTCAATTTGTGAATTGAAGTACAGATGCAGTTAGCGTGATGTACCGAGCCTAATGTATGTAATACAAATGTATGGATGCACGCATGCATAG